AAAGGATAAGAAAACTTATAAAAAAAAAGGCATACAAATCAACTAAACACGTTTCATGACACTCCTCTTTTAATTATCTGTACTCTTTTTTTCGTATGTAAGTAAAGTTTCGAGGCTACCAGTAAATGATTAATATGAGATATATTAACCTTATTTCGTTTGAGGAGATAAAGGACTGGTAGTAGCATTTTCCTTATGTCGATCCAGAATTCAGTGTCCGTTAGTCTTAAGCTTCTGATGGTAATACTCCTCATTATTCCGATCTGCAGTCCGTAGTTGTGATGAAACTAGAAATTGGGGATTATTTCCGCATGTGATTTCTTTCTGAATAGTCTATTTTTGAGTATTCCGTTGGAGCGAATGATCTCAACATCCAGGAAGGGTAGTCGCTAATCCTCCTACACCTCCATTGTGAATTCAATTCTTCCATTAAGTTGGTTTATAAATTGAGGTACTTAGCTAACGGAACATTTATGAGGAGAGTATTCAGAAAGAAATCACATGCGGGAATAATTCTCAATTTCCAGTCTCATTACAACAACAGATTGAAGATCGGTATAATGAGGAGTATGATTAACGAAGGCCTAAGACTAACGAACAGTGAGTTCTGAAACAAGAATTTGGAGAAGCTGACTTTGATTTGCCTTAGTAACTGGTACCCTAGAGAAGTTATAGAAATAAATATAAGAGTCATAAAGAGCATAGTTCAGCTAGAATTTTATGAAAATACGATGAGGAATCAGGAGGACGGCCAAAATTGAATATGCCTGCCCTTCTGTGAACTAAGCCAGAAGTTGTGATGTTTACCAAGAAAATTAAATTTCAAAGTGAAACCGAAAGAAACATAGACACTGAAAATTACGAAATAGCGGAATTCATCACATGGACGGGACACGAAATCGAGTGGAAATTGACGGAAAGGCTGGCTGTACATGGTGGCAATACAAGAAAACGCAAGATACGAGAAGCTATTGATATCCTAAATGAAATTAATCTCATAATCAGGAGACTAGAAGAAGACAGGATTTGCGAAAACTTTGCACACGGCCTAAGCAAACTCGAATAGGATCAGGGAACAACAATAACAGTAAGAAGAAGACGATTAGACAAAAGCATAATTTTTTATTTTAGGAAAATAAATTACAATGATACCAGAGAGTCTATTCAAATCAACTAGAAACATCATATTTGGGGGTCGGCGCGCAATAAATAATCATAGACTTGGCATTAGGGATAGAAGACCGAGAGAAACAATGGTGGCCATTTCCAGTTGGCTATTAGTAGATAAGTTTGCCCATTGACGTGGTCCATGAAGCAAATGCTTGACCATGAGCTTTACTAGATGCACATGTCGCATAGCGATAAGGGGATCTGCAGCGTTACTTTAGGTTGTCATGCCAATGGCGAATCCAGAATTGAGGGGCTGGATCAATGAGGCTGGTGTATATGTGTTATCAGATGCCTGAGGCAAAGTGTAGAACATACCGCCTTGAGTAGCAGGGATACAGTGGCAGCTATTGGGTGAAATATCTAAAATAGGCAGATAAGGGAAGGATCCTACGAAGAGAGAGAATTGCGGGTTAAACCGCAGTCTTGGATCGACACTTCCGGTACAATCAGAGGGATATGGGAACCAGCGGAGAGTGTGAATAGGTATCAAATAGGTTTTGAT